TGACCACTGGACAAGGCCTATGCCTTGTCTAGAATCTCCAAGTTATACTGCTTAAGAAATTACAGATTTCCATTTTTTTCAGATCAAATGTGGCTAGACCTACCCTGTTCTTCCAGTTTCTCAAAGTGAATCAGCACCATTGTTATCAACCCACAGAGAAGGAAATTAAGGGGGGAAAAAGGGTTTTTATTAATAAACAACTATGAGAACCTTTTCTTCCTGTCTTGTATTAAAAACGAAACAAAAACAAAAATAACCTTCAACTTGTAAACAGTAGTAAAGGTCTGATTCAAAGTTAATATGGAAAACAATGGTGTATAACTAAGTTAATATACTAAACCTTTCTTTTCATCCATAATCATTTGACTTGTTTGAGCTCAAAAAGTTTTTTTCAGGGTGCCTGGGTGGCTCAGTCGTTAAGCGTCTGCCTTCAGCTCAGGTCATGATCCCAGAGTCCTGGGACTGAGCCCCACGTCGGGCTCCCTGCTCAGCAGGAGGCCTGCTTCTCCCTCTCCCACTCCCCCTGCTTGTGTTCCCTCTCTCGCTGTGTCTCTGTCAAATAAATAAATAAGATCTCTTTAAAAAAAGAAGTTTTTTTTTCACATATTTAGGTCAACCGGCAGCCACATGTACATGACTCCAGTTTATCTGAGACGTGGGAAAATGTTTAAATGGTGAAGCTGATGGGTACAAGCTCACTATACTATTCTACTTTTGTGTTCTAAAATCTCCATGTTAAAACAGCACAATGTGTTAAAAAAATTTTTTAATGTAAACTTGCGTCAAGTAAAGAAAATGACATATATAAGACCTCTGTTGCCTTGTATAAAAGTCAGGGTCTAACCAGGGGACCTTCTTTCTCTAATCTGTTCTTTTTATCCTCTTTCCAGGTCCTTATGTATACCCACTGAAAGATCCTAACGGGAAGAACCAGTTTACTCAAGTAAACTGGGGCTAAAAAACAATCTGCGCAAGATATTACTAAGTTTTAAATAGAAACTATGGAACATTCTTGAGATTGACCTCAGTATGTTATTGTTTCAAGGGACATCACTACATAATGTTCCTTAACATAACATAAATCAACCAACAATCCAAGGTATATGAGGGAGTTTACACGTACTTTTTAACTGGTTTGTCCAACACCTTTACTTCTACCCTCAAAACAATTAGATTCATCAATAAAATAAATTATTACACCAAAATGCCTATGTACCTCTCAAGACTACAAACCACTTACAGAACGAAGTAAGACCCAAAACAATCAGAATGAAGCTGCAATTAAATGCTAAAGTACCTTTTATACCGTTTGCACTGCCTTATGGAGAAGAGGATTATATTTCTCCAGCTGCCCTTTCAGAGCATCGCAAAGCGGGGCGCCTGGGTGGCTCAGTGTGTTAAGCCTCCGACTCTTGATTTCAGCACAGGTCCTGATCTCAGGGTTGTGATCTCAGCTCTGCACTGGCATGGAGCGCTTAAGATTCTCTCTCCCCCTCCACCCCCTTTCCCTCTCTACAAGGAAAAAAAAAAAAAAGAACTGCAAAGGAACAGGTATGAACACTGTCCTCATGAATACTACAGCAAACATAAGTGTGATTTTTTTAAGTGTGGGTAGTCTTTGAGGAGACTGACACCCAAGTTCGGCCTCCTGGGGGAGCAAGTTCCACAGGTTGATTCATCATTCTATTAAACCTGATTTTTATTTGCTCTTAAAGCTTGTAAAATTAAGCCTTGGGAGCTTAAAATTAACATAAAGCGGAATGATCAGACGTCTTGAAAGTCTGTGATAGAGTAAAATTTTAGACCCGATAGAGGGACGTTCAGGCCTAGCAAGGACTACGACAGCTTGGAACCACTGCAAGTTTGGTGAAAGTGATTCTTCAGCAGATCCAGTAAAGTCCCAATGCTCCCGATGACCCCTCACCTGATTGAACTCCTCGTCAGCATATATATCAATCAAGTCCACTCCTTCTGACATGGCTCCGGAAGGAAGATCGCGAGCCCGGAGAACGGACAAAGTAAGGAAGATGCCACTGCGGTATCCTGAAAGAGGCAAGAGTTGGAAGGCATGAGGGTCCCGGGCTGGGAGGAGAGCAATGGTTGCCAACCTCCCGTCTCCAGAGACGCAGCATCCCGGCAGCCCAAGCTCGGTCCCACCCGCTCCGCCCCGCCCCCGGCCTCGCGCCGCCCCTCGCTCTCCCAGGCCGCCGGGGCTCGCGGGGCTCGCTGCCCATCACCCTCGGGCCCGACCCGAGTTGCGCCGCAGCTGCCCGTGGCGCGACGGCAAAGTCCAGGCCTCTGCTCCTAAGGGCCCTGGGACGGCGCTGCGAAGAACGACCGCGGCGAAGCCCGCAGCCCCAGCCCGCCGCACCTGCCTAGGCCCCAAAGCGGTCCCGGCTAGAGTCCCCGCGGGTCGTGGAGCTCCAGCCGCCTCCGCTCCCCACCCAGGCCTAGTCCTCGCCCCCAACTAGGCCCGCCCCGCTCCCTCCCCACAGACTCGGCCCGGCGCCCTCGGCCTCCTCCCTCAAAGGCCCGCACCGCCCCCCGTCCGCCGACTCCGGCTGCCCCAAACTCAACCGACCCCCTCCCAGTTTCAGCGCTGGCCCCGAGCCCTCTTCCGGCCCCGCCGGCCCCCGGCCGCGCGCCCCCGTTACCGGGAATATGGCGGCGGCGGCGGCGAGTCCGGACTAGGCCCGAAGCGCGCGAACCGCTCTCGGCCCCAGTCCCGCCCCCCCCCACCGCTGACGTCACACGCACAGCCACTTCCGCCACACGCAGGGACGCATCTTCCGGCTCTGGCCCTTCAGCGATGAGGTCCGTATTTCAGGCGTCCGGAAGTTCCCGGAAGTTGCCACGCCGTAGGCTTCCGGTGTGGGTCGGGAAGGATGGCGGTGGCCTCCATGTTACCGGGTCTGACACGGGTGAGGAGAGTGGAGGTTTTAGGGTCCTGGGCAGGGCATAGTGGGGATTGAGTCTCGACTTCTAACGCAGTAATGGAGACTGCGAGGAGCATCCAGCTGCCTGATAGCCCAGGGCAAGGGCAGAACCAAGGAGAGATCCGCCTTGCAACATAGGAGATTCAGGTCACATCCACTCTTTTCTTAGCCCACTGTGTGCCTGTCTCGTTCAGAGACCCAATTCAGATTTCACCTGTTTCCCAGGTGGAGCTGGCTGCACCGCCTCTGTGCGCCGCTTCTCTGTGTTCTTAAGTCTGTTCTTTTGTCTAATACCTGTTATGATTCCACTTCTTAAGATCATTTTTTTGTTGTAGGCTTTTCACACTGAACTTCTCTCAGTACTGCTTTTGTGCTGCTTATAATTTTTTTGTATCTTGCGTTTTCGTTGGTCTCAAGATGTTTTCGAATTCCCCTTTTGATTTCTTCTTTGACCCATTTGAACTATTGGTTATTCATGAGCTAGAGTGTGTTAATTTTCACATATTGGTGAATTTTCCAGTGTTCCTTCTGTTGTTGATCTCTAGTTTCATTTCACTGTGGTCATTTGTATCATTTTAATCTTTTTTAATTTGGTAAGACTTGTTTTGCAGCCTAAGGTGATCTATCTTGGAGAGTGTTCCCATCCAAGGAATACATCCTTGAAAATAATGTATTCTTCTGCTGTTGGGTGAAATGTTCTATACGTGTCTGTTTTGGTCCATTTGGTCTATAGTGTTGTTCAGGTCTTCTGTTTATTGATCTTCTATCTAGATGTTCTATCCATTACTGAATGTGGAATATTGAAATCTATTTTTATTGTATTGCTGTTTATTTCCCCCTTCAGTTCTGTCAGTTTGCTTCATATGTTTGGGTGCTCTGATGTTGTTTGCATATATAATTGTTTTATATTCCTAGTACATTTACCCCGTTATCATTATATAATAATGTCCCATATCTCTCGTGACAATTTTTGACTTAAAGCCTGTTTTGATTGACATAAGGAGGGCCATCTTTGCTCTTTGGTTACCATTTGCATGGAATATCTTTTTCATCCTTTTGCTTTCAGCGTATGTATTCTTACATCTAAAAGGAATCTGTAGTAACAGCGTATAGTTGGATCCTATTTTGTTTTTAAGATTTTATTTATTTATTTGACAGAGAGAGCGAGAGCACAGGCAGGGGGAACAGTAGAGGGAGAGGGAGAAGCAGGCTCCCCGCCAAGCAAGGAGCCCGATACGGGGCTCGATCCCAGGACCCTGAGATCACGACCCGAGCAGAAACCAAGAGTTGGTCACTTAACCAACTGTACCACCCAGGTGCCCCCACAATTACATGTTTTTGTGTCATATATCCATTAGCTTATGTTTTTCTATTTTAACTTTTATACCAGAATTATGTACCACTATTACAGTATCCTGTATTTGCCATATATTTATCTTTACCAGTGATCTTTATGCTTTCATATGCTTTTGTGTTGCTGTCTGTTGTCCTTTGGGTCCTTTGGGCTTCTTGAATTTGGATGTTCATTTCTTTCACCAAATTTGGGAAGTTTTTAGCCATTTCTTTGTATTATCATTGTTATTTTTTTTAAGTAAGCTATATACCCAACGTGAGGCTTGAACTCGTGACCCCAAGATCAAGAGTCACATGCTCTACTGACTGAGCCAGCCAGCTGCCCCTGGCTGTTTCTTTAAATAAGTTTTCTGCCCCTTTCTCTTTTCTCCTTCTGGGTTCCTATAATACTTATATTCGTCTGCTTGATGATGTCTTATAAGTCCCTTGGGCGCATTTTAATCTTTTTCATTCTTTTTTTTTTCTTCGTCTGATTGGGAAATTTCAAATGACCTGTCTTTGAGTTCACTGATTCTTTCTTCAGCTTGATCAAGTCTGCCGGTTAACCCCCGTAGTGAATTTTTTTCATTTGGTTATTGTATTCTTCAGTTCCAAAATTTGTTTGGTTCTTTTTAATATTTCTTCTGTTGATATTCTGTTCATGCCTTGTTTTCTTAAGCTAATTGAACATTTTGTTGACAGTTGTTTTGAATTCTTTGTCAGGTAATTCATATGCCTCTGTTTCTTTAGGGTCGGCTTCTAGAGATTTATTTTGTTCCTTTGATTGGACCATGTATTTCTGTTTCTTCATGTTCCTTACAACTTTATGTTGGATCCACACTTGAAAAAAGTCACCCCTCCCAGTCTTTTTGGACTGGCTAGAGAAAGACCTTCACCAGTCAGCTTGGCTAGAGATTCCAGGAGTCTCTCAGACTTTTTGTGTGGATAGGTCTTCTCTAGGCTTGTGTGTGTAAATTCCCAGTTCAGGGATTTGCTGGCTTCTTTTTTTCAGGAGTCTGTGACCTGGTTTCTGGATTTCTCATAAAGGGAATTGGTCCATGTATTGCTGAGTTGGTGTCTCCATGAGAGAGAGTGTGAGACTTCCTGTTCCATCATCTTGCTGGTGTCACTACCTTCTCACTGCATCTTGATAGGTTTTGCCCTTCTCTAGATTGGGAGCCTTTGGGGGATTGGGGACCGTGCCATCACTGTATGCTCAGATTTCAACACAAGCAAGTGAGTAAAATATATACCATTCCATAAGAATTTTGAAGGAATATAAAGGAAGGAGAAAATATTTCTGCTGGAGAATTTCTGGAAAGGTACTAGTAAAGAGCACATTTGCAGTTAGGGTTGGGTTCCAATCCTAACTGCAGGGACTATTTGGGTGACCTTGGTAAGTTATTTAACCTCTCTGAGCCTCAGCTTCCTATGCTATAAAGTGGGGATAGTATCAACATAATTTTTTTTTAAAGATTTTATTTATTTATTTGACAGAGAGGGAACACAAGCAGGAGGAGTGGGTGAGGGAGAAGCAGGCTTCCTGCTGAGCAGGGAGACCAATGCAGGTCTCGATCCCAGGACCTGGGATCATGACCTCAGCCAAAGGCAGACATTTAACAACTGAGCCACCCAGGTGCCCGTCAACATAATTTCTTAAGAACTAAATGAGATTGAATGCATTTAGCACCTAATAAGTGTTGAGTGAATGACAGTGATGGTAGTCTTTATAAAGATGTTTGTGGTTTATTTCAGATGCTTGCTCTGTCAAGGCGCCATCTAGTGTCTCCTTTGCTCAGCACACCATCTTTCGGCCGTTTCTACAGAGGTGACAGCCCAACAGATTCCCAAAAAGACATGATTGAAATCCCTTTGCCTCCATGGCAGGAGCGAACTGATGAGTCCATAGAAACCAAAAGAGCCCGGCTGCTCTATGAGAGCAGAAAGAGGGGAATGTTGGAAAACTGTATTCTGCTTAGGTAGGGAAATATGAGACTTGGTGTCACTTTCTCTTTTATTGGAGATAGCTTTTTCAACTTTGTTCTCTCTCTTTCTTGTTTTAGCCTCTTTGCTAAAGAATATCTGCAGCACATGACTGAGAAACAGCTGAACCTCTATGATCGTCTGATTAATGAGCCCAGTAATGACTGGGATATTTACTACTGGGCCACAGGTACTGGGCATGATCAGCAAGCAGCATGATGTGAAAAATAGGATGACTCGCGCTGATCTGGGTCTGGAATTGTGTCCTAGGCAATTTTTTTCTTTGTTCATGAAGTCGATACTCAACCCCAGCACTCTCCAAATTTTTCAAAGCGTGCAAAATTGTTTTATTAAAGTTCTTTGTTGGCAAGCAATAGAAACCTGTCTAACGTAAGCAAAAAGGGAGTTTAGTGGAATGGTGTGGAAAGGCAGAATTACAGAAAAACCAGGCTGGGAATGGTGTGGAACCCGACAGCTCTAGAAAGCTACATGGCAAGAGCTCCTCGATAGTCTCACTCCAGCACTGCCTTTGGGAAGAACAGTTCTCACTCTGTATAGTTAGGATTATCTTCGGCTATCAGGTTAAAATAAAAAAAATCGAAACAATAGTAGCCTAAACAAATCAGGACTGTACTTCTCTCTCATAACAGCAGTCCAGAGGTAGGCATTCTATTCAGAAGTCATGAGGTCCAGATACCCCTTGACGTGTTCCTTCTTCCTCAGCATGTGCTGTCTACCTTGTGGTCGAAGGTGGTTGCTGTGGCTCTCTCTGTCACGTCTGTGTTTCAGCCAGGAGAAAATGTGTAGAAGCACACGCCTTATTTTTTATAAATCCTTCTCAGGAGATTATGCACCACACTTCCAATAGTTTTCCATTGGCCACAGTTCAGTCACATGATGACGCCTAGTCACGATGAAAAAATAATATAGTCTATTTCATGCATCCAGTTGCAGCGGGGGTTCTCTTGTCAAGGAAAAATGGGAGAATGGATATTAGGGTACATCTCATCCATTTCTGTCACACTCTGGGTCTTCTGGTTTTATGTTCCCAGTCCAGACTTGAGTCATAAAATAGAAACCATTCTGTAGGTTCTGAGTATAAAGGGTGATAATACAGAGTCTCAAGGCACATATAAACATTGGGAAGCCCACAAAGTATAAAATATTTCCTCTCTGGTCCTTTAGTATTGTTGAGTAAAAGTCCACCATGTGACTGTACCCCCCCAGTTTATCTGTTGACCAGTTGAGGGACGTCAGGGTGTTTCCAGTTTTTGGTGATTCTGAATAAAGCCACTATCAGTGTTCGCATATAGCTTTTTGTGGATGTAGGTTGTAGTTTTTCTTGGATACATACCCAGGAGAAGGGTCACTGAGTTGTATGGTAAGAGTTAATGACAAACTTTCTGTAACAGGACAGGGAGGAAGTACTTCAGGCTGCGCAGACCCTACCGTCTATGTCTTGAGTCTTCACTCCTGCCGCTGGAGCGCACACGCTGCCACTGCTACAGTGTTGCAGTCAGATTTTATTGACAGACACTGAACTTTGAATTTCATAGAATTTTCGTGTGTCACGAAATACCCTTTGGACTTTTTTCCTGAACCATTTAAAAGTCATTCTTAGCGCACAGGCCGTGCAAAAACAGGCAGGAGCCTATAGTTTGCTCACTCTTGTGTTGAGTGGAAGAGACCAGACTCCCAAGTCCAGCCATCCATACTGTATGATGCCATTTTTATGATATTCTGGGAAGGGCAAAACTATAGGGGTAGAAAACAAACTAGCAGTTGTCAGGGACTGGATGTGAAGTTCCCCATCCTCACCAGCACTTGGTATTATCAGGATTTTGTTTTTGTTTTTAGCCATTCTAAGAAATAGGCAGTGATCTTTCACTGTAGTGAGTTGACATGGCCCTGATGATTAAGGATATTGAGGGTCTTTTTTTTTTTTTTTTAAAGATTTTATTTTTATTTACTTGACAGAGAAAGACACAGCAAGAGAGGGAACACAGGCAGGGGGAGTGGGTGAGGGAGAAGCAGGCCTCCCGCAGAGCAGGGAGACCAATGTGGGACTCAATCCCAGGACCCTGGGATCATGACCTGAGCTGAAGGCAGATGGCTGAGCCACCCAGGCGCCCCTTGAGGGTCTGTTTTAAGTGCTTATTTGCCATTCATACATCTTTGCTAGCATGTGTCTTCAAATCTTAGCCCACCTTTGTTTTTTTCTTAATCGGGTTGGTTCATTTTCTAATTGAGTTTTGAGTGTTCCTTATTTATGTGAGATTCAAATCCTTTGTCAGATACACGTCCTGCAAATTTCTTTCTCCTTGCTTATGGCTTATCTTCGCATTTTCTTAATATTGTCTTTCGAAGAGCAGTTTTTAATTTTGGTGAAGTACAATATTTTATTTGGTGAGTTGGTGGATTGTGCTTTTCATACTGTGTCTTAAGAATCTGCCTTATCCGAAGTCACAAAGATTTTCTCTGTTTTCTTCTAGGAATTTTATAGTTTTAGAATCACCTGTTCAGTTTCTCCAAAAAAAACCCTACTTGGATTTTGATTGGAGTTGTGTTGATCAACAGATCAATTTGGGAAAATTCCTTTAGCAATTTAGAATTGTCTAATCTATGAACATGCTGTATCTCCCATTTATTTTGGTTTTTTACTTCTTTTTTTTTTAACATTTAATATTTTTAAAAAATTTATTTGAGATAGAGAGTGAGCACATGAGCTGGGGAGAGGGACAGAGGGAGAGGGAGAAGCTGACTTCCTGCTGAGCAGGGAGCCTGACATGGAGCCCGACGTGGGGCTCGATCCCAGGACCTTGAGATCATGACCTGAGCCAAAGACAGCCGCTTAACTGACTGAGCCGCTCAGGCGCCCTTGGGTCTTTGACTTCTTTAATCAGCATATTATCTGTTGTTGTATAACAAATTACCCCAGAACTTACTGGCTTTAAACAAACCCACCTTTAATATCTCAACCTTTTTGTGGATCTGGAATCCACTCATGGCTTAGTTGGGTGCTGTGCTTTACTCTGTCACGAAGTTATAACCAAGGTGTCAGCCTAGGGTCTGGGGTTTCATCTGGAGGCTCAGCTAGGGGAGGATCTGCTTTAAGTTCTCTCTGGTGTTGGCACAATTAAGTTCCTCATAGGTGCCCCACCCGCAGGCCTAGGTTCTTTGCTGACTGTTGCCTAGAGGCTGCCTTCTGTTCCTTGTCCCAAGGGCCTCTCCTACTTGGAAACTTGCTTCTTCAAAGTGTGCAAGCCAAGAAGGCAGGAGAGGAGTCTGCTAGCAAGATGGAAGTCTCAGTGTTTTGTAACCTAGTCACGGAAATTACATTGTGTTAGCCTTGCTGTATTCTGTTGGTTAGAATCAAGTCATTAGGTCCAGCCCAGGGCAGGGAGTAGGGGTGAGAATCACACAAAAGCATGATACCCAGGTGGAGATCACTGGGGGCCATTCTAGAAGTCTGACTGCTACAATCCGTCTTTTGTAGTTTTCGGCATATTTTGGACATATTTTGCTGGATTTGTACCTAAGTATTTCATATATTTTGGTGCTATTATAAATGGTACTTTAAGAAAAATTTTCAATTTCCCGTTGTTGGTAGAATGTAGAAATACAGTTGATTTTTGTATACCGTGACCTTGCTGAGCTCACTCAGATCGAGAAGCTATTTTGTAGATTCTTCGGGATTTTCTGTGTAGACAGCTGTGTCATCTCTGAACAGAGAATGTTTTCTTCTTTTCCAGTCTGTATGCCCTTTATATCATTAATTTGCTTTATTGCACTGTCTGGGTTCTCCGGTGTAATGCTGAATAGTGGCAGTGAGAGCATCCTTGGCTTGTTCCCAGTGTTAGGGGGAAAGTATTCAGTCTTTCACTATTAATATACTGTTAACTCTAGGTTAGTTGTAAATGCCTTTTATCAAATTGAGAAAATTTCCTTCTGCTTGTAGTATATTGAGCCTTTTTTTCATAAATAGATGTTGAATTTTGTCAGGTGCTTTCTAGGCATTTCTGTAGAGGTGATAATTTGTCTGGTCATATGATTTCTTTTCCCTTAGTTTATTAATATGATGAATTTATTTTATTTTATTTTTTTAAAGATTTTATTTATTTGAGAGAGAGAATGAGATAGAGAGCATGAGGGGGGAGAGGGTCAGAGGGAGAAGCAGACTCCCTGCCGAGCGGGGAGCCCGATGCAGGACACGATCCCGGGACTCCAGGATCATGACCTGAGCTGAATGAAGGCAGTCGCTTAACCAACTGAGCCACCCAGGCGCCCGATGAATTTTTTTTTTTTTAAAGATTTTATTTATTTATTTGACAGAGATAGAGAGAGAGCACAAGTAGGCAAAGCGGCAGGCAGAAGGAGAGAGAGGAACAGACTCCCTGATGAGCAGGGAGCCTGATGGTGGGGCTCGATCCCAGGACCCTGGGATCATGACCTGGGCCGAAGGCAGACGCTTAATCGACTGAGTCACCCAGGTGCCCTGTAGTTTCTTTTATTCAGTCTTATAGTCTCTATCTTTTCATTGGGGTATTTGGCCATTTGCATTTATTCAGTGAACAATGGGGTTGAGTTAAAATTACTGTCTTTTTGTTGCCTGTTTTTTCCATCTTTTTTCCTTTTCCCTTCTATTTTCCATGTTTTTTTAATTGAGAATTTAAATTTCGTATGACCTCCATTGTTGGTTTATTGTTTATACTTCCTGTTATCATTTTTTGTAGTGATTGCCTTAGGCTTTACAATACACATCCTTAATGAATCAGTCTCCTTTCAAGTTATATTATACTGCATCACATAGGATGTGAGAACTTCACAATAATATACTCCCAAATCCTCCCCCCATCTTTAGTGCTGTTGTAATTGTACTTTTTACTTCTTCTTATGTTGTAAGCCTACACTATATTTTAGACAATTATCTTTAGAGCAGTTTAAAATAAGGAAAAGAATAAGTTATATTTTATATGTATAATTTATATAAATTATATATGTTGTTTATTTTTTTACTTTTTTAAAGATTTTATTTATTTGACAGAGAGAGACACAGCGAGAGAGGGAACACAAGCAGGGGGAGTGGGAGAGGGAGAAGCAGGCTTCCCGCTGAGCAGGGAGCCCGATGCGGGCCTCAATCCCAGGACCCTGGGATCATGACCTGAGCTGAAGGCAGACGCTTAACGACTGAGCCACCCAGGCGCCCTTAAATTATAATTTTTATAGTATGTCTTATATATGTACAACAATAAATAACAGTGTGTCAAATATATTTTATATTTACCTTTATTTTAGTGCTCTCTGGAGATCTTCATTTCTTTGTAGAGATCCATGTTTCTATCTGGTATCGTATTCCTTCTGCCTGAAGAACTTCCTTTAATATTTCTTGTAGTGCAGCTCTGTTATTAGGAATTATCTCTGTTTTTGTCATTTTTCAAAGATACTTCACTGGGTATAGAATTACAGGTTCACAGTATTTTCTTTCAGCACTTCACAGGGGCCCACCTGTTTTGCTCTTAGTGTGCAGGATTGAGTCTGTCGGTCGGGAGCTGTGCTGGGTTTGGGTTTGCTGTTTTGGTTACCTTCATCGCACCTCCAGCTTCCAATTCGTGTAGCGTTACCATGTGCTGTTTCCTGGTTCTTGTAGTTTCTGACAAGAGGTCCGCTGTGTCTCTTTATTCCTATATATGTAATGTATCTTTTCTTCTTGAATGTTTACAGCATTTCATCTTTGGTTTTTAGCTGTTGAATATGATATGTCTTGATGTTTGTTCTTGGTATTTTTTCCTGCTTGGGTTCTCTGGGCATGTTGGATCCCATTACACTGTTTACTTTTACCCTACAGCTTTTGGATTCTGTTTTGTGTCTTAAGTCTTTTCTTTTTATGTATCAGTTTGGGGAATTTGTATTGGGTAAGACTAATTGATCTGTCTTCCAGTTCGCCAGTTCTTTCCTTGACTGCAGGGTTGAGTCTCTTGATGAGCCTGTTGAGGTCAACCTGCTTATTTGCTACTGTATTTTTAACATTTACATTTGGCTTTTACAATTTCCAGCTCTTTAGTGGAGTTGCTCATCTGTTCCTACATTTTGTCTACTTTTTCTGCTAGAGCCTTTAACATATTCCTTTTTTTTTTTTTAAGATTTTATTTATTTGAGAGAGAGAATGGGAGAGAGAGAGAGGGCATGAGCAGGGGAAAGGGCAGAGGGAGAAGCAGACTCCCTGCTGAGTGGGGAGCCTGATGCAGGGCTCGATCCCAGGACCCTGGGCTTGACCTGAGCTGAAGGCAGACACTTGACTGACTGAGTCACCGAGGTGCCCCTTGTCTACTTTTTCTACTAGAACCTATAATATTTTAGTTATTTTTTTTAAGATTTTATTTATTTATTTGAGAGAGAGTGGGAGAGAGAGAGGGCATGAGCAGGGGGAAGGGCAGAGGGAGAAGCAGACTCCCCACTGAGCAGGGAGCCTGATGTAGGTCTCCATCCCGGGACTCCAGGATCATGACCCAAGCCGAAGGCAGATGCTTAAATGACTGAGCCACCCAGGTGCCCTAACATATTAATTACTTTAAATTCCATAATAGTTGTAACATCTGGGTCATCCCCGAGGCTTTTTCTATTGATTTCTTTGTCCCTTCACAGTGTGTTGTGTTTTTCTTCTTCTGTGCACATGTGTATCTCATAGTTTTTGATTGAGTACTTAGACATAAGTAAGACCGTAAAGAGCAAAGTAAATAGTATTTATGCCTAGAAATGGGCATGCTTTCAGTAGGCTGTTAGTATGGGGATCAAGTCAGTCTAGTTAGGAGTTAAGCTCACCTAGATTCTGTTATTGCTTTGCTCTCCTGCACTGCACCATAAGCCTCTGTTGCTACCATCTGCGTAGAGTAGGGGCTGAATTTCCAGAGGGTATTTCTCCATGTTCCTGTTCTACCCTCAGCTCTCAGCCTTCCTCCTGTTTCTATGCCTCAAAGGGAATCTCTCTAAGCTCTTGACCTTTCCCGGCAGTAGATCTCTGTTGCTTCCCACTTGGGGGGAGCAAAGTTGGGAGGGCAGTCTCCGTTATCCTGGTTCACCTTCAGTCCCTGTGGCCCTGGGTCTTGGGTGGGCTCTCTCCGTGGCCCTGCCTGTCCCACAGGACGAGTTTTGTTTTTTTTTTTTCCCCTTTTCTCTTTTCACCATCCCAAATGGGTCTTCACGTGTTCCAAGTAGGAGACAGGATTTGCAGACCTAATCCCAGTCTCTTAAGGCCTTTGTTTGGTAGAGGAGAAGGGCTGGGCTGGGCTTTGTGCTTTCTGTGTCGTGTTGGCTGCTCCTGGCCTACATCTCTGAGGGAGGCATTCTCCCACCTCTTGCTCTGAACCTGGCATCGGTCAGGAGCACACTCTGGAGGTTTGTTGCGAACAGCCCGTGGGGCGCACACTCCCTCGTGTGGTGTCTGTGGCTAGCCCCTACCTGGCTTGTAGCAGCAGGTTCGAAATTTTAGCTGAACTCTTCTTACCTGTCCAGATGGCATCTAGTGTGTCTTCTTCCCGGGCCCTGTCTCAGGCGAGCAGGTGCTCATGTGCAGTTTCTCCTTTGAGGGGCTTCTCTTCCCTTAGATTTTGTTCTACTTGGTTGCCCTGTGACCTCGGTTCTTGGATGACTTCACAGAAAGTCATGCTATTTGTAGTTTTTCTGGCTCTTCTTGTTAGGATGAGCACGGTGCTCTTTCCAACTTGCACCGTCCTTAGGGGAAGCCTAAACCTCCTGGACTTTATTTCGATCATTACAAAAAAACCCCAGCACCAAGCCCACTAGATGCTGGGCTGTGTGCTGAGTGAGGGGGAGTTAAGCTTTGAGGAATTCTCTCTCCCAGCGTTGTAGTCTTGACAGGAGGGTCATTCTCGAGCACATTACCTAAGCTTCCTCCGTGGGAGGCTTTGCTTGTAATGGGAATCTGAAGCGAGTGTCTGCAGGTGGAGAGAGAGGTGGGAGGTAAGCAGGCATGCCAGGCCCCCTTGCACACCCCCGAGATGACACTCCCGTGGCTTTGCTGTCCATGCCCTTGGGGCCTATCCGTCCGCATCTCGTTCTCCCGGTTCATGTCCATTTTGTGTACCGCTGATAGCCTTCTAATGAATTCTTTTTTGCTGAAGTTGGTAGAACTACTAGTCTGTCATGTACAACCGAGGACTTCTGCCTCAGGAAATGTATAAGCTGGAAGGAGAAACACAATACCCAGAAAACACTGAAATACCAAGTGCAGAACAAAATAGTGCCGCCGAGCTTGGACAGGCCAGGGGTCTGCCGACTCGTTCATAAAAGGCCAGACGGTAAATAGTTTAGTCTTGTGGCCATATGGTCTCTGTTGCCAACTACTCAACTCTGCCATCCTAGTGCAAAAGCAGCCGTGGACAGTATGTAAACAGATGGGAGCAGCTGTTCCAATAGAGCTGTTTACATGTGCAGGCAGCCATGGTTCACCAGCTCCCGCTGTAGGCCACCATGTATACTTAGAGGAAGAGTAGAGACAGGCTGTGTATTTACTGGTTCTTTGCAAAGGCCAGAGTTTCAAGGGTCAGGGTCCCCGTGCCTGAGTATTAACGGCCATCATTCTTTCTGCCCATTCTTCCCTTGCAGAAGCAAAACCGGCCCCAGAAATATTTGAAAATGAAGTCATGGCCCTGCTGAGAGACTTTGCTAAAAACAAAAACAAAGAGCAGAGACTGCGTGCCCCAGATCTGGAATACCTCTTCGAAAAGCCACATTGAGCTGTGCACCATTGCCTGCCCTGGGGGCTCAGTCCACGGACCCTAACTTAGGATAGACACTGGCCTCGACTTCCTGCTTCCCCTGAGACACTCAGCCTTCCCAGACTGTTTGTCTTGCTTCAATTGAGGGACCCATCTCTCAGGACGCGTAAATACTGGGTGTGACTCATTCTAAAACTTTGTTGGTTCACTTTTAAGCCTAAAAGCGGTTGCTGGTGTTGCCAGCACTCTGGCCTGTTTCTCTGCCACAGGAGGGCAGTGTCGGGGAAGGGATGGTGCTGGCTCGTTGCTTTAGCCCGAAGTGTGTGTTCAGTGCAAAGAGGCAGCCAGCTGCAGGGGCTGGGTGGCAAGCTTCCCCGAGCAGCCCAGGGCTTTATTCAAGTGAAATCCCTCCCCCCCACCCCACCTTTCCCACCCAGTAGGGTCCTTCCTGCCAGGGCAGCAGACCCAAGCCCCCTGAGCTGAGTCAGAGACACGGCAGGCAGAAGGAGGGCGGCAGGCAGGGATGTGTGGGCATGCTCCTGACGAGTCCACATCCTCCTCATCAGGTTTCCTCTAGAACGTTCACTCTGTAAACTGAAAGATAATTAAATATTAAAGAATATTTTATGAAGGAAAAACCACAGTTCCCGGCCCTCACACAATTATTTTAATTCTGTCCTCACATAATCCATAGTCATTTGTCTCCAGAGTTATACAAGGTGACAACCACAGGGTTTATCCCCATGTGGCACGATGGCAAACTTTTTCTGTATTTCTGCAGTCTTCCCCATCACTGTAGTTGACGAATTGACAACACATAAGCAATAACATCTTGGAATCGGTTGAAAGAGCTGAGCTCCAGGACCGGAAGACTAATGTGTTTGGCTAGCAGTGGTCTCCCTGGAGGGATTTTGCCCTCAGATCTGTAATCCAGTCAGAGCTGTCATCACCCGGGCTGGGCCAGGACCATCCGAGGGTGTGGACCTCAGAAGACAGTCTGGGATGGATGAGCACGGGGTTGGTGATCACAGGAGATGCACGCAGAGAGGAAGCGCCTGCTTCCAGCATTCTGGAGAGCCGCCTCCTGGTCCTCCCTGCCCCTCGGTGTTCCCCGCTAAGGAGAGGAGAGAAGAGAACTAGCCTTTACTTACACGACCCTGTGAAAGCCTCACAGCACCCCTATGGACAAGTGGTGTTATGCTGATTTCGTAGATGAGAAAGTGGGCTCAGAGAGCACTTTGTCCGAGGTCAAGTAGCTATTTAGTCAGAAAGTGACAATCTCCTTTAGTTCTGCCTGCAAAGTGTATGAACTTTCTACTAGACCACTCTTCACTGGTGGAAACTTAGTAGGAATTCATGCTTTGGAAAGTCAGGGCAAAAGACATGATCATTCTGAGACAGTGAACCTGTGTGTCACAAAGGGGGCGGGCAGCTGCCAGGTGCTTCCCAAAGTAAGCCCGTGGCTCCCCAGGGCAGCTCGTGTAAGTGACAGAGCAGTGTCGGCACTGGTTTCAAGTTCAGATCTCGGTTCCGCTGCTCATTTGCTGGCTGAGTGCATCGCCCTGAGCCCCCGTTTCCTCATCCACAAAATGGGGGTGATGACTCTCCTTATCTTAGCTGATTGTAAATTTCAGATGAGAAGAGAAAAAGCTCACGAAGCTCTTCATTGGCCCCCAGCACACTCAGCTCTCCGTAGATACTAGGTGTCAATGCTTGGTCGAGGCCCCAGCCTGAAACTTAAAAGCCACCTCCTAACACCAGTCGCCTGGCATGTCACTGAGGTCACCAGAACTTGTGTGGGGCAGGCTCCTGTGCAGATGGGAAAGCCAAGCCCGCTAGAGAACCACGGGGGTGTCTTAGCAGCCAGGGGAGACAGAAGACACCCTGGGGGCGAGAAGTAGGCGTCAGAGTGACAGCTGGGAGGCAGAAGCAGGGCTCTCTAGAGGACGTCCCCCGGGACTTCCTGCAGACTCTGGCCACTTGGGGACTCGTTTGATGTGCTGGGCAGAGGGCGTTAGGCAGCCAGAGAGTGTGGAGTGAGCTGGACTGTGAGATGTGCACACAAGCTGGGCAGCGACTTGCCCATCCATTCTGGATGCTCCCGCACCCCACCCCGACGGCCTAGTGGGCAGCTTAGGCCTTTTCCCCCCCGGGGGTTCGAGGTCTCCTGACCCTGATTTTGTCTCATTTAACATGATGTTCAACTGTTGCCACTGTCACCTGGGACTGGCGTGCTTCTAAAGAACTGTTTTCCTCCCAGGCTGCTGGCTTGTGTCACCTCAGAAAGTGAAGGATCTTGCTAACTTCAGCTGCTCAGTGTCAGACTCAGGGGTGCTATGTAAACAGTTTTTCCCTTTATTAGGCATTAGCTAAAACTAGGCTGGCCCACAGTGCAATTTTTTTAAAGATTTTATTTATTTATTTGAGAGAGAGAGAGAATGAGAGATAGAGAGCACGAGAGGGAAGAGGGCCAGAGGGAGAAGCAGACTCCCTGCCGAGCAGGGAGCCTGATGTGGGACTTGATCCCGGGACTCCAGGATCATGACCTGAGCCGAAGGCAGTCGCTTAATCAACTGAGCCACCCAGGCGCCCCCACAGGGCATTTTTTAAAAATTAATAAATAGCAAGGGCCAGCAGCCCCCCAAGGACTTGCGGGGAACGGGAGCCAGCCCCATCGCTCTCAGTTTGACGCATCACTGCTCAGTGACCTCTTTCTCAGCCGGGGCCGGGCACATGAGCTTCTGGCCCTGCGCTGCCCCACCTGAAGTGGTTTTGTGAGTCCTGCCGGCCAGGCTGCCTCGTGACCCGTCACACTGGCTCACAAAGGCTGTTCCCTTCCCATTCTTGCCTCTCTTAATCATGTCAAGTCTTCAGGATGCACAAGCCAAACTCCTTTGCCCGAGCTCTGTGCCTTGGAGGGGGTCTTGTGCAGGGTCATCGCTGTTGAGGTCATCACTGGCTTCGGGCATTATCTGGAGGTTCTCTGGTCTGTCTCACAGCTCCAGCCAGGGTGGCACACTCACAAACCTGGTTCGTTTTTTTGTTTTTTTTAGAGAGGTTTTTTTTTTTTTTTTTTTAGAGAGCATTCGAGAAGGGAGGGGAGGGGCAGAGGGAGACAAAGAATCTTTATTTGACAGAGAGAGAGAACGAGAAAGGGAACACAAGCAGGGGGAGTGGGAGAGGGAGAAGCAGGCTTCCCGCCCAGCAGGGAGCCCGATGTGGGGCTCGATCCCAGGACCCCGGGATCATGACCTGAGCTGAAGGCAGACGCTTAATGACTGAGCCACGCAGGCGCCCCCCTGGTTCATATTTTTAAACATTACCAGGAAAAGAGATTCTGCTAGCACGGTTGAGAGTCTCACATTTATCCGCCAGTCCATCCGCCACACTGTCGTGGCTCAAGGAAGGGGAAGGGTTCATGATACGGAAGCCGGGCAGCCTTAAGGGGCCAGCAGGTCTGGGAGACTTCTGAGCTGACGGCCCCCCAATAGCACAGCCGGCCGTGTCTGAGGGGGTAGGCCTGCCATCCTGCAGTTGTCAAGTGAACAGTGCCAATCAGCTTCCAGTGAAGCCACCTCGGACACTTGAGTTTCCCAGGGAGCCCTCTGGGAGTGAGGAAGGGTGCCTTCCCCAGTGGGCTACAATGGCATTGGTGGGACACGTGGCCTGAGGCAAGGGAGCTCTTGCAGCTTTAAGGAACACCTGTCTGTTAGCAGTCTGACATTTTAAGGTGGATTACAGAAAAGTGGAAGCTATTCAAGATAAGAGGCTTGAAAGGGAAAGACATGCAGAGAAGAAATCTACCACGTCGTAACCTGTAGTCAGAGGAGGAGAGTCTTTTGCTGGGTCCCAAGTCTTGCCTGAATCCAGATACTCCTGCCAAAGAGGAGGATGTTCTCTTTAAAAAGGGCACTGTGAACACATCTTAAATAACGACACATCATAGCTTGTAGTTTTAAAGCAAACGATGACCTTAAGATGTGCATTTTGTTTGCTAGTGGATTTCAGGTTATTTCGTCAGTATCGAGTGAAACGTTCACCTTTGGCAATGCCTGGGGACACATGGTTAGGGCAAATACAGCAGGGCGGTTAAGGGCAGCAGCTTGAGAATCGGACCTAAGTAAGACTCCCGGATGTCCCATTCATCAGCCAGGTGGGCACGTTAATTTAACCTCTCCATAGCTCTGTGTCTTTTTTTGTAAAATGGAAAGAAAAGGAACCTCCTTGCACGTGTGGGTGTAAGGACCAAATGAAGTCCCGCATGTAAGATGCCTAGCACAGGACCTGGCGCCTTAGCAATAGTGCTCTTTGCTAATGGCGGGCCCAGTGCTGCTGAGAGCCTCCCCTGGACTCTCGCTGAATGTCCACGATGGTCATTAAGGGGTAGGCAGGGCTGTCATTCCCCTTCCGCGGATGAGATAAGTGAGGCCTGATGAGATTAAGCTACTTGCTCAACGTCACAGAAGAGAAGCGTTTGAAGGCAGACCTTGGGCAGGCACCATGGGCTACACCCCCTCCAAACAGGAACGCCATCGCCAGCCCTCCCCAGCTACTGGCTTCTCGTCCCAGCTCTCGTCTTGGTCTGTGGACCAAGAGCCCCTCCCTTGGTTCCCTGCAGGACCCCTGGGCCCTGACTCTTGCAGACATGACAGCATGGCCTCAGCGGCTTCGGCCTTAACCCCCGAGCCCTCCAGGCAGGACCAGTGCCACCTCCAGATGATGGTTTGGAGTTGAGAGACGCTTTGGATTTGGGGGGCAGTCCAAGGACAGGGCTCAAACTGCCCTGTGTCAACGGTTTTATCCTTACCTCGAGCAGCAGAGATGAGGTTTGAAGCTTTCTGGATCTTCCTGTCCCTATCCGTCCTTTCCCTCTGAGTTGGAGGCTGGCTGTGGGAGCTGGATGTGGCTGGTTGGGAAGGCCACACGAACCCCATTCCAGGGATGGGGTTTCCCAAACACAGATCTGAGCTTCCCAACCTCCCGCACACCCCTGAGTCCCGTGCTTTTGCTGACAAGCCAGTGCTGACTCCTCCTAGCCAGAGACTCACGCCAGTCCCCTTGTGAGCAGGACCCTCACTCCCCTGTTTCTCTTGGCTCCCACCCTCTCATCAGGGTCCTGCAGAGGTGAGAAATGTTTGTAGATACTGCACTAGATAATGTGTCTCCAACTCAAGTAGAAAAAGGCAGTTGGTTAAAAAAAGAAGTGATGCCCAGAACTTAATTTTAATGATGTGCTGTAATGGTCTTCACTATGTTATGCATTAGCAAAATGTTTGGTAAAACTGTTGCCTTCTCTAACTTGAGAGGAACCCCACGTGCCTTCCAAGCTGGCAACCCACGGAGAAGAGGTTGGAAAGCCAGAAGCTAGTCCTCTCTGTCGGCTACTGTTGTCTGCATTTGGTGAGGAGTTACGAGGAGGAGGTGAGCTCGGGAAAGAATTAGATGGTGTTCAAGGGAAATAGAATCCGGAGATCCAGGGCCTTCCAGGGTTGAAAAATCTTCTACACCCTAAGTAGAAAAAGATGAGGAACAAGAAAAACTGGGGGCAACAAAAACCCAGTAAAACTTTTCCCTTGGATAATGTGCCTCAGGACAGGATCAGACTAGGGCATGCCTCCTATTTATTATTCTGAGTACCCTCAAGACAGTCATTGAGGAGAGGAGAGGTATGGAGGTGAACTAGCAGACAAGTTAGGTGCTAGAATTGTCTAGGAAAAGACTTGGGGTGAATGTGGCTATGGGCACCTAAAACTGACAAGAAGCAAATGGGTCTGTGGAGAATTGCATTGCCACCGGAACCATGCGCTGGGGCTCCCCTCCTCTCACAAATGAAAGTCCTTGACAATTTGCAGCTGTAAAAGGACCCTTGGACCTCCAACCGTGGACCTCAACCATGAGCAGGAAGGAGAGTATGCATCCCCGCAGGACAGGCTCCACCATACCCATTTCAGAGGTGGCCAAAGTGGATGGTGGCCAAGGAGGAGGCCCCCAGATGGAAGAGCCGGGGCCAATGCCAACAGTGAGCAGGAGTCTCCGGCAAAGCAGGACCAGTGAGTGAAGGAGCCTCCCTGCAGTGCCGTCCCTGCCCCACCACTGTATCGGGTGCCCCAGGGGATCCGCGTGCCTGTCTTTCTGGTCCATGGGTCCCTGGCCCAGGAAGAGGCTCTTTGGATGAGAAGAGGCTGGGGCACCAGTGTCACCAGAGACCCCAGGCTTCAAGCCAGATGCAGGGACGGGAAAGGACTTTGGGTGGTGTCCCTTGGGGAGAGCGTGAGTGTGCCATGTGTGAGAAGAAAGACCGGCTGGTTTGGCGCACAGAAGGTTGGGTTGCAGCAGAGACTACGGTGTCTGCCCACCGCACTGGCGCTTCTTCCTGAGCATCCGGGAAGACGACAGTCTCCAGCCTGCCTTCCGTAAGGCCGGTGCTGCGGGCTTGGGACTGGACATGGGTGGAAGTAAGGAAAGCCACTTTCCGGCCTGGCCCTTTGAAACACCCCAGGTGATCCTCAGCCCACTCCTACCCTGCCGCAGACATCCAAGACATGTTCTAGATGGGGTACCTACACGAAGGAGGAAGGTCACCTGAACTCCCAAACTGCACAAATGAGACATGAACCTTTCCTGTGTCAAATCAGGGCGATTTTGTGCTTTATTCATTTCCTCGTTACAGCCTGTCCTACTCTTGACTAGCACATCTTGCTCTGTCAGACACATAGTGCTGTTGAGCCTTGAACAATGTGGGGGTGAAAACCCACGTACGATTCAACTCACCAAAAACTTAACTGCTAGTAGCCTACAGTTGACCAGAAGCCTTATCAGTAGGATAAACAGTTGGTCAGCACATATTTTGTATGTATGTGTATTATACACTGTATTCTTACAATAAAGGAAGCTAGAGAAAGGAAAATGTTATTAAGAATATCATAAGGCGGGGCGCCTGGGTGGCTCAGTTGGTTAAGCGACTGCCTTCGGCTCAGGTCATGATCCTGGAGTCCCGGGATCGAGTCCCATGTTGGGCTCCTTGCTCAGCAGGGAGTCTGCTTCTCTCTCTGACCCTCTTCCCTCTCGTGCTCTCTATCTCTCATTCTCTCTCTCAAATAAAAAAAAAAAAAAAAAAGAATATCATAAGGCGGGGAGGCGTGGTGGCGCCTGGCTGGCTCAGTCAGTACATGTGACTTGATCTCAGGGTTGTGAGTTCGAGCCCCATGTTGGGCATAGAGCTTACTTTAAAAATAATATTGTAAGGAAGAGAAAATACATTTACAGTACTGTACTGTATTTTTTTTAAAGAGTTTATTTTGAGAGCGAGAGAGAGAGAAAACATGAGTGGGGGAGGGGCAGAGAGAAAGGGAGAAGCAAGCTTCCCGCTGAGCTGGGAGCCTGACACAGGACTCAGTCCCAGGACCCTGGGATCATGACCTGAGCTGAAGGCAGACGCTTAACCGACTGAGCCACCCAGGCGCCCCAGTATTGTACTGTATTTATGGGGGGGGAAAACCACGTAGAAGAAGACCCACATAGTTAAACCCATGCTGTTCAAGGGTCAACTGTATATCACTGCCACTTAAATATCAGACCTCATTTTGGCCGGTCTTTCTCTGGTTCTGTGCTCCAGCCTTTAAGAGGCTCCTTTAACCTATTCTTGCCACAATCCCTCCCACAGGGCCTTTGCACATGCTATGTACTTGTGGTCAATCTGCCATCTCACTCTCCACAGTGACTGGGTCAAACATACCCATCCTCAAACCTGTGACTTTTCATTTCCCTCCATTCTCAGGAGATGACCTCACTGACTTCAGGGGAAATCAAAGCCATCAGATAGGTCCTTCCTTACTTCCCATAGCTGCACAAGCCGTTCTGTTCCCACGCAGGAGCTGTCCCTCCTCCCACGTGCAGCCCATCCCTCTACCTGTACTTCGGATCCCATCCTTACCTCATTCCTTCCTCCTCGTCAAACAGTCCTTATATGTTCACGTGTCTCACTCAGCGGCTTCCAACTGGCAAGCCCGGACTTCTTCGCCAGAGCCCTTCCCTTTCCTCCCCTTCACAACCCAACTTCTCCAGCTTCCCCTTCACAACTGTACTTGTCTTCATTCCTTCTCTTCCCCTGACTAGCTGTCCACTTCATTATCCTATGAGTGCGGCCCTCTCCAGGTAGCGATGTTCTCTGCCTTTCTCCTAAGCAGGGACGGAAGGTCTGCTAGCTGTGATCTGCCAACCCTTGCGTTCGCAGGAGGTCTCATACTCCCCACATGCCTCTTTTCAGAAGAGATTGCATTACCCCATTTCTACGTGAGGAAACAGAAACTCAGGCCTACGGTCACACAGCTGGGAAGCAGCAGGACAGGAAGGAAACCCAGGTTTCCCCAGATCTTGGTGTGTACTTCCCAACACCCCACCTGTCCCAGACTTACCCTGACCACTCCTTGCCTTCCTGAGCTTTGCCGTATCCGTGCACCGTCTACACTAATATTTCCTTACTGTCTTCCTTGAGTTCCTTCTTTATTTAAACCAATTAATTTTTAAAAGGAAACTACATCACAACTGTAAATGGGAAAAACCATATCGATGGTGTCACTTGCCAAAATTAACAAGGTAGCTATAAAAACAAATGCTTTGGGGGATGCCTGGCTGGCTTAGTAGAGCATGCGACTCTTCTCAGGGTCACGATTTCAAGCCCCACGTTGGGCGTGGAGCCTACTTAAAAAAAAAAAAATTTTTTTTTCAATACATAAAATGTTGTGGACTTTTTCTAACATTGTATTATAAAAAATTTCATATGTACAGCAATGTCCAAAAGAGTTATACAGCGAATAACTGTATGTCCTATCCACCACTTAGATTCTACCATTAACTTTTTACTTACTGGATTCATCCATCTACTTTTTGATTCATTTCAAAGAATATTATAGGTATCAGAATGCTTCCCCGAAATATTTTGGAACACATATCATTTATTAGACTTACCCATTTATTTAAAGTTGTTTTATTTTGCTGTAAAGTTTACATACAGTGAAATGCCCAAATCTTAACTGTATATTTGCTGCCTTCTGGCAGGTGCCCACACCAGACTCCTATCAGGAAATGGGAATTACCATCACCCTAGAAAGTTCTCTCATGCTCCATCCCGGTCAGTCCCTACAACACACCTCCCCACACCCCAGGCAACCATATCTCTAACTTTTTCTTTCATCATAGATTAGTTTTGTCTGTTCTAGAATTTCATAAAGATGGAGTCATACGGTATGTACTCTTCTGTATGTGTCTGCTTTCAGTCAGCATAATGTTTTTGGCACTGCCCGCACCGGTATTTGGTCCTGTTTATTGTTGAGTCGAATGTATCACATCGAATGACTCTACCCCATTTAGTGTATTCTTTCCATGGATGGGCACCTGAGCTCCTTCTGGTATTGGGCTCCAGACAATTCTTCTTGTGATCGAATGTTTTTATTTCTCAGTAAATATCTAGAGGTAGAATTGCTAGGCCATACGTAGGTGTATGTCTAGTTGAAAAGCAAGTGCCAGCATGTTCTCCAAAGCAGACGTACCATTTTGCACTCTCATGGACAATGTATGGGAGATCCAGCTGCCCTGCAAGCTTGCTGGAATTTGGTGTCAGTCAGTCCTTCAAAACCTAGCCATTCTTGTGGGAAGGAACTGGCACCTCCCTGTGGTTTTCATTTGCAATTCCCTGACAATGAATGATGTTGGATATTTTTTTCACGTGCTTATTGGCAATTCATATGTCTTCTTTTGTGGATGGCAGTTCATTTTATTATTGAATTATCGGAATCCTTTATACATCCTGCATACCAGCCCTTTGCTGATATATGTTTGCAAATATTTTTTACCGCGTCTGGGAGTTGTCTGTTCATTTTCTTCAGTGTCCTTTGAAGAGCCAAAGTTTTAAATTTTGATGAAGTCCAGTTTACCAGCTTTTCCTTTGATGGTGTTATTGCTTTTTGTGACCTGTTTCAGAAGACTTTGCTTCTCCCTGAGTCACGAAGGTACCTTTATATCTTGAATGAATTTTTAGATATGGTGTGAGGTAAGGTTTGAGGCTCTTTTCTCTTTCTGTAGAGATACCCAGTTATTCCAACATCATTTATTAAAAAGACTTCCTGTCCTATTGGCTTGCTATGACATCTTTGTCAAAATTCATGTCTGTAACTGTGGAAACAAACAAAACCACATTATTGAATTTTTAAAAATTTTAAATAAAATGTTCAAATGAAAATTAAATGCAGCTAAAAGTAGTCTAATTGAGTTACAAAAATTCATATTTAAAAATGAGTTCCTAAAAAAAAAAATAAGTTCCTCACTAAGAAAAATGGGACTGTCAAGGACTGGTCTATCATGAAAGATTTCTTGGTTTCCTAGTATCATTTATATCTAAAATGAAAATCAAGTTCTCCATCAAAAAAAAGAAAAAAGCCATTCTCTTCTTAAACCATGGTATGAACCAGCTTTGAGAATGCCAAGAGCCCATATGTATGTAGGTGGAGAGAGCCAAAGATGTTAACTGTCTTTCTGATACAGTTATCAGTTTGTCACGTACAAAATGGTCATCAGCGTCCAGGAGGGTTTGTTGCGGTGATGCAGGTATAGTCAGTGCTTGGAAACCCACACCAGTGACCCTCATCACCTACAGGGCCCGTCGACCGTGTGGCAGGAGGGTCATGTGGTCGTGTGGGCAGTGTCCTGGTCAGTGTCAGGAGGACAGCCAAGACCACGCTTCTTTTAGCTTTCTCCTGAGCCTAAGAATGGCGACATGTGCGTACCGGGTGAGGCATGCCTCTCATTTTAGCTTCCCTACTCCTCCTAGAGAAAGGCAGACGCACCCAGGTCATCCCGCCTTTGCTGGGAACCAGAGGTGCACCAAAGCCACGCCACCTGCCCAAGGGTCGCTCCACTGGTGAGCTGGGGAGGTCGCACGTAAAGCCGGGCCGCCTGGCTCCACGCCCGCCCTCCTGAGCCCTCTGCAGGTTTGCCTTCTCGTAAGAAAAGAGCTTGGCACGCTGCCTACACATACTGTTGCCATTACTTGGTGATGTCGGTTTATAAATTGTTAAAAACCTGTCTGTCTCCATCCGTCCTAAAACATCAGGGAGTGTCCCTTTTGGGAGCCCTACATGGCTCCTTGGGTGCTCCCCACCTGCATCCTCCCCAGCACCTCCTGGAGGCCCTTTCTGGGGCTGCAGCAACCAGAGCACCCCAAATCCATCTCCCGCCGCGCGGGCAGTCCCCGTCTGTACCACACTAGCCTCGCGGTCCAGTGGTGACTCCCGACACCGCTTAATGGCATGGCCTTCATCTCTGACCACAGAACCCTCTCGTTTAGCTTGAGAATGGCTCTGTGTGAGCGATGTTAACGGAGAAGTGGCTTACGCAGATCTGGGCTGTAGGAAGACCACCGGGACAGGGAAGGGCACTCCAGGCAGAGGGAAACTGCAGGGGTCAAGGAGCTGACAGAACGAGGGGCATGTTTGGAGGGTCTCAAAATGGCTTGCGGTGAGGCTGGAGCAGCAGGGCACCTGGCCGGTTAGCCTATGATCATAAATACACCTCCCAATCTCAGTGGCTTAACAAAGCAACGTTTATTTCTCACTTGGGCCAAGTCCGGTGAGAACGGGGCAGCTCCTTCATGGGGTGGCCGAGTGCCCCAGGCGCTGCCTTCTCAGGTCGCCACACACAGCGAGGGTCAGCAACGAGGCCTGAAAGGACGGCGGATTTTCAATGTCATGCCCAACCTTTTGCACTTAATTCTGAAATAATAGTGTTGAAAGATGATAAGGCTTCACAGTCAGAAAGGGCTAGGTTGTGCTGTGCTAACAACCAGCTCCGGATGGTGGTGGCCCCCGAGAGCTTGCTCACACCGCATGCGCGTCAGGCCTGTGGGGGGCTCCG